GCTTGTTCAGCAGGATGGAGACAAACGATCATTCTTTACTCCACGCATCGGCAGAGCTCTGTTCACACCCCGACTTGGTAGGACAGACAGCGACAGTGACAGTAACATACTATACACAGGGTATTAAATAATAATCATTACAATAAGACATGAAGTTCACACGACCTCGTTAACAATGAATAGCCATCTGAGGCTTGAAATATGTACTTACCCTTTATAAATATGCTCGAAAAATACACGTATTGAAGATATTTATGTTAGTTATTGTGTGTAAATGTATAATATTGTGTTTCTCGAATAAAGGAACTGCAAGTTATGCAGGATTATTCTGTTCTTACTTATTTTATTACTTGTATTCTACTATACACACACACAGTCACTTCTCTACCGAATAACACAAATTTACATAGGTAACCAGATCAGTTAACTATTAAAAATCTCTGACATCTTAGTCGATGAGATGTTTGTCTGATCTTAACAAGGAAATGAACAGAGTATATCAGTCTCTACAAAAACTGTTACTTTAGGTAACTTTAGATGGAATTAATTTTTATCTTATTTTAATTATACACAGTTTATTCAGTATAATTTGCAATTGAAGAGAAAAGGTATTTAATTTGACACTTTCTTTTTAGATGTGGTAACAACTTGAATGTTTATTTACCACCTTATAAAATCATTCCTTACTAATGACATTGCTAAATACCAAATAAAACAGTATGATGATTACTATTGGTAACTTATTAACATTCCAATTTTGAATAATTGCATTTTGGATTATTGGTTTTACATTTCAATTAAAATCTACACTTCATTAATGGAAATTAGTTATTCAAAAATACATCGATTGTTTCAAGAACAAAACATACACATATCATTTACATATATAAGTTAGAAAGGTCCTTAACACTTTTTCAAAACTTACATATGAAAAGAAACGTGTAAGTCCCAGTTTTATCGTCAAGCCTACCAATATTTTTAGAGTAACGCCGATCATTGAGGTAAGTTTGTTTGTACATTTATCTTAGGGAAAAAACACAATTGACTATCTGCAGTAGCCACCTCGGTTAATCGAACCCTGAATTTTCGCATTATATGTCCGTAAACTTGTTTAGATATGTTGAACTTCATTTTTTGGTTATTGTGATTAAGTAACCAATACAGGATAAGATTTTGTATTCCTAACACATAATTGAACAAACTTGCGTGTATTCAGGCTGTCGTCTCCCTGCTAATAAGGCGAACAATTTTTAATATGGGAATTCTACTTGAATAATATGCTAGAATGTAATTTTGTTTTGATATTTCATTTAATTGCAAGTTTTAGTTTAATTCAAGCACCGATAATATTTTATTTATAAAAGTGTTTTTCAAAGTCAAAGTTTACCTCTATGCAATTAGGCTAGCGACTCGTGTGAACTGTATTTGATCATTTCAGGTTTCTTTGTTTGTTGTTGAACACAAAGGTGCACAAGGGGTTACCTGTACTGTGCCCACAGCAGGGTTCGAACACTGATATTGACCGTTAAAACTCCTGAAGCTTACCGTTGAATCACCTGCTATAGAATTTTCTTTTTTTTGGAAAACTAAAGATTTATAACAATACAGTTATATTAGAATACACACGATGTTTGAAAATAAATCCAGCAAACTTAAGCAATAATAAAACCGTAAATGTTTTATTGAAAGACTAACTGACGTAATAAGATATCCAATCAAACACATTTCTTACAACATAATCATTAGGTGGGTTCTAAACAAGTTATATTAGTCATAATGAAAGTCTTTTTGAAGAAGTTGTAGTGTCCCACAGAGCTACTTCGCATGTGGTTTTATATTCCTTTCAACACTCCAAACGAAAGAGTTTGGGTTACGGTTTTAAATACCTAACGTATTAAAAAACGAATATATTTAAAATCTATGACAAAAACTACGTAAACTACAGATGTTGTTTTCTACGCTTCTCTTAATTCGGCCAATTCGGGTTGAAAATCAGAGGCGCATAAAACATGTATAAGTATGTTTGTTTGTTTCTTTTGAATTTCGCGCAAAGCTATACGAGGGCTGTCTGCGTTAGCCGTCCCCAATTTAGCAGTGTAATACTAGAGGGAAGGCAGTTAGTAATCACCACCCATCCCCAACTCTTGGGATACTCTTTT